TGCATAAACTTTTGGGATTGACTGTATAGCCAATACATCCTTAAGGAAGGTATATCGTGAAGATGAACAAAAATGACTAAAGGGAGAAAAATGGAATTGCTAATCTGATAATACTTAGTAATCCGATATCATACGGCCTCTAATAGACAGAAAAGTAGGCTACTTTGAGTCATTGTAACGACGAAAGTTAACCGACGAGTCATCCCTAACGTGAACCTTGAAATTTGCATCTCGATGCAAATGGGCAAGCGCCGGAAGAATTTGAAGGATCGACAACTTCATAGGACCCGATCCGTGGATCGTTCCGAGTCCGGGGGATCTCGCATAAATCTCCGGCCCTCGAGAGCGCATAATGGCACGTAGATAGACCTATATCCTCAACCCAGGGGTTGAGAAGGTGTCGCCGCCGAGACGATATATTATAAATCGCGTGTTACATTGTGCTTAGAGGATCCTCGTGACTGTTGACTCGCCTGTATCATTGTCGGAAGAGCGGCTTTTGTCGCTCGAAGCGACGACATCGCAAACAAACACGCAAACACGGCCACCGTTCCACCGGTGTACGCGTTAATACGTATACAGACACCATGACGAGCGTACGTGGTAGTACGCTGTCACAGTTAATATAGTTGTGTGTACGGAGCAGGCAGCTGCTGTTTGACAATGCGAACTACGTCCCCAGATATAATAATATACTCGTCCCCGGTACCAGCCAGGGGGACACTTCATCAAACTGACTACGGCGGTAATAGGGTACAGTGCTCTGCTTTAATCTATACCTGAGTTCACGAGAATTTCGTGATCGTTCTTGCGTCGATGCTGTGTGTAAAAACACTTCGAGGAGAGAATGTTCTTTGAACAAGTAGAAGCGATATAGGAGAACGTTTTGGTGTATCAAGTTGGAAATCAGGATTGCGGCGAAAAGAGCGGCAAAAATAATTAAGCCCGCCGCGAAAGATAACACTGCTGCAGAAACGGTAAACCCCGCTTCCTCCGCCGTAGCTTTTGTTCAAGAATCACACCGTATTATACAGAGAGAAAGAGAGAGAGAGAGAGAAATGGCAAGTACAGCACGCTCCCGGGGTATATTACAGCCTCTCGAGAGGTGGTGGAATATCAGGGTACACCTTTTCCAGCTATTGTGCGCCTCTGAAGGGCGTACAATGGCCGTGGAGCGAGTCCCGTATTGTGTCTACAGCTCGACGAAACAGTTCTCTGCGATTCTCTCTCTCTTTCCTCCGTGTCCATCTTCCTCTCGCCTCGTTCCCTCTCTCTTTCTACTTGACTTCGGGTTAAAGAGAAAGGGGAGGTGTTCCGTTCCGATGCCGCACGCTCGAGCATCTGCCCACGAAGGAGACTACGCTAGATCCTCGAAAACCCACCCGAAATCCACCGCGGAGCATAATAATCGAGCGTAACAACTTCTCAGCCCCTTGCGACTTAGCTATAATCCACCAACTTGCTCGGCATTGTTTCGATGTCAATGACGAAATCGCATTACTCGCAAATCTTTCATTAACGAAACCCATAAAAAATCTCATCGACTGTCAATATTTCCTATAAAAAATATCGAGCTTTTATTTAATTAATTATATAAATTAATTTCGGATAGGAAATTCAAGTCCGCCTAGAGGTGGCGAGGGTTGATAAGAGAACCGCGGAGGAAGATCAGAAGGGGTGAGTTTGCCGGCGAAATGCGATAAAGTTGGCGTAGAGGTAATTTGAGTATAAAGTTTTATTCGCAATAATTTACCCGCGCGTACGAACGGGGGTTGGTGGAGTGTATAGAGCGGTAGGGGTGAGAAGTAGGAAGGTTACAGAGGTGCTCGCCCTCGCGGGAAGCGTGCAGGAGCAGCCCGGGTCATATATTTGATGGGATACTTGGCATAAAGTCGCGCATAAAAGTAATGCCAACATTAAAGTTTGTGGTTCCAGAGCCGTGCCACGGCTGAGCCCTCATCCCTCCGCCATCGTTCCCGAACTATTCTGCCTCCTATTCTCGGAACGTCTCTACGATTTTACGTTGGGAAAGGTATGGGACCGAAGAGTGTCTTAAAGTATCGACTTACCCTTCGTACACCACCGTTCACGCTACGAGATCCACGATAATTCGTGTCGGATTCTGGCGTCGACGTAAACAGTCGCTCACGAATCAACTTTGTACAATCGCCGGGATATCTTATATCGGATGATTTTCCATTTGTTTGACTAAACACGATTTAAGTAGTGCTCGGAAGAGATTCGGAACGATAGCCAAGGAAAAGTTCGCAGGGGCGATTGGTGGCAGTTCGGGCCAGATAGTCGAGCAGTTTAGTTCAGGAGTGGCCGTTGGGGAACGATCTGATGGCGCCAAGGGAGGCATAGCTTCTTCCCACGTGGCACCCTCGACACGGTCTACCCTCATAATTCTGCTCGGCCTTCCTCCAGACGCCACCTCTGGTTTCTCCGCGGCGAGAGCGACGGAGAACGTCGAGGGAAGGAAACGTGCTTCCCTCCTTGTTCGCCACCGCGAAAGATTGGCGAGCTTCTATACATCCCGTCCCTCCCTTGAATGGAAACCGCCATGTGATTTTCCAGTAGCGACAGTTTCACCCTCTTTCCTGCTAGCCGACGGGGCCGCGGAACCATGTTGAGAAATCGTTACTCACGATTTTATGATCGAACATCCGATTGGATTAATAAACCTTTCACGTGACAGTGATGCACGAGGGGCATGGAATTTTGTTAAACAATCATTTTCAAGATAAAAGAACAGGGAGAATGGAGAATCGAACGAGAAAGGGGAAACACTGTCGTACAAACTTCATTCCCATCAGTCCATAAAGGACTTTCCCGGCTTGTATCTCCCCAAAGAATCGATACCCTTCTATTTCAAAAATCTTCTCAACTTCCCGACGTTCGATGGAAACAATATTTTTACCAGAGAACAAAAACTGATTCGCGTGCACGGAATAAATTTCGCTGAGTTATATAAATCATGCAACGCTAACGGTCGTTGATACTTACGAATGCATCGATAACGAACGAGCGGCGAGTACGATGCTAATTAGCAGATAGGAAAACGCGCACGACTGTGGATTTCAACGAAAAATCTCCCGTTCGCTCGGACCTCGCACGGAAACGGTTCGCACCATCTGTGCGCCGATAAAATCTGCACCTGTTGTACGGACGCCTCGGCGTCGTTGCGCATATTAGATCGTCGATCGCGCTCATTATACCGCGGCCCTCCGCGTTTCGCGGAAGCCGCCTCGCCGATTTCCATCGTTCAATCAAAGTCCTTCGCGTTCGAGTAATTAAAACAACGACCGAATCATTAACGCTGCGTTGCAACGAACGGAGGGAAAGTTGATCATTTATGATTCAGATGAAGCTTGAACAAAGAAATTAGTATCTTTGACGCTTGCACGTTCCTCCTTAATTGGGATGGATACATCATCGATGGAAGAGCGAAGGGACACGGTCTCGCAGCCGACGCCGGCCCAGAGCCTAACTGATAAGGATCGTTGCTAATTGTTGCGAATTGGCGAAGGTGGCGAACGAACCAGGGAGATCGGGCAACAGGTGTCATCTGATTGATCGCCGTAGCTCGCACCCCCACGATTACCTAGCCCACAAACACATCCACGCCAGAAACGGACGACTTAATGCCGATCCATTACACGGTCGCCCATTACCGCGCGAAACCGCCCGCCCATTATGCCGCGATGCCTTTCCAACGCGGGATACCGATTGATACGCTGGTCAACCGTTGATAACGAGATTTCGAAACAAGAAGAACTTTTCTACCATGCGAACGCGATTGACACTTCCGTTTCGCGATGAAACTCGAAAGGGCGTAGCCGATCGACGCCCCTGGGGCCGATTCGCGCCAAGCTTCTTCCGCGAAGCGTGCGCGCGCGGTAACGAGCGGTACAACGGCGAGATTAACAACGTTGCGCCACGAATATTCGCGAGGATAATTGATACCGACGTCGGGTGGACTGGCTGACCATTGAAACCGCACGCACAATATATCATGGATAATAAGCGGTCGGTGCACGGTCCGGAAGGCGCAAGAGGAAGGAGGAGGGAAGATACACTTCGTTATAGCTGCCTGATGTCTGCGGACTCCTTGATGCGATTATGATACGCGACCGTTCCGCAGAGTCACGTAGCTATTCTATATCGAAGGCGGAGGCGCTCCGACGAGGCCTGTCCGGAACAATGGTGAACGATACGCGTTGTTACTGTGAGCACACATATACCCTGACCGATCGCAATGACAGCGGCGCGCCGTGTACCGGGAGTGCGCGGTAGGTAAAGACTGAGGAATGACCGTGCGCGAACTGACCCGCGTAATCGTAATTAATCATCCTGAACCTCTGGATCGGTATCTCATAATTTCTAGTTATCCAATGAAAAATGCGGAAACGTCGAACGTACATTACTCTTCAAAATTTACTGACTGTCTTCCCCGTTCAATCGCGAATACCACAACCTTGCTTTCAGGACTCTGATAAATTCATATCATTTACCATTTGCTAAACGTATCAGATCTGATATTTGCTTCCATTACATTATGCAATACTAACTCTGTTGGCCTGTGTCTAAATAAATGTTGCCTATTGTCCCGCAGAATCGTGAGGAACAAAGCGGCGGAGAAGGCGAAGCACGCGCACCAGCAACAGCAGGCGCAGCAGCAGCAAGGCCAGCAACAAGGTCAGCCGGGATCGGGCGGTTCCGTGTCGGTGATAGCCCATGCACCTGCAACGGCAGCGGGTCACCCGGCGGCGACCGCTCCCAACGCTTACAGCATCAGCGGCATCCTGGGAATCCCGGCGCACCATCAGGACCCGAACGGCAACAGTATCAAGAGAAAACGCACCGACGACGGTGAGTCATTGGATTCTACGATGTCGATGATCCCGCGACCCGCGATTACTCGCCTAGCGATGACTCCACCGATTCGTGTACCGCGCGCGCGCGGGTAAAGAGAGCTCGAATCGAGAAACACTCGCGATTCGAAAAAATAATCGAGGAGCTTATGTAAACGTCAGATCGGATCGCGCAAGGCGTCGCGGCTACATTTCACTCGCGATTCCTGACCGAAGAGGTTATATAAAGCTCGGCAAGAAACGAGATATCGGTTAGATCAGTGCGAGTTTCGCCTCGTTCGAACCGTCGGTAAGAGAGAAGTTCAAATGACGAGTAGTATAATGATAGCTTGTTAATTTGCAAGTTCATCCTTCACGAAGCCGCGTTTCTTTCGTGAGACAACGTCGCACGATTAGATCTCGATCGCCAATTATGAATATATTCAAACATATCCCGACCAGCGTCCGGTCATTCGTTCGCGATCTCGAGTGGTACCACGGGCCGACCAAGATTAGCTACACGCACGGTATCAGTCAAACGTCGAGCGGCACGTGCCGCGATTCATTCTGCTGTCGTTGCGTGAATAACGCGTCCCGAAATATTCCCGACACGTGCCGCGGGGCGACACGTGACCGCCGTTGCTCGCGACGCGTAGAGAAACTTTCGATCCTCCAAAGAAGAGGTGCGAACACGCCGCGGTGGACTTCTTTCCGGACCGGGTCGAATCGTTTCAACCCCCGTGACTAACGGACTAAAATCTAGTCGGAAGAACGAGCCAACGTCCAGGGACAATCGCTCGAATTTTGCCAGCGTTCAAAAACACTGGGAAAAATCTGAACGAAAGAGCCGCGAGGTGACGAGCTCGACGCATGAGTTTCGGTATGCAACGTTGAAAAATAGAGGAGCACCTGTGGTAGACGACAGTCCCACGGCTACAGAGAGATGGACACGCGTATCGATTGGTGCGTAGCTCGCGTCGATGGTACGCGAGTAATTCGATATAATCGGATTATGAGAGCGGCGATATGCGGTCGCAAAAGTGGTCGCGTCCGCGGCGAGAGCACTCAGTGTTTTGCGGCCGGCGAGGGTACGCGTATTAGATTATAAACTTCACAGACCACAGCGGCTTCTATCCCTCGGCAACGACACATTAGTCTCCCTGTCCTCCGGGGAGATCATCGCAGCCATTCTCACGAGCACCGCGCCTCTTAACCGGCTGGAATTTCAACGAGCGATAGATATACACCGCCGCGACTGCGGTGAACGTCGGACACATTGTGTGATCCGGCAAAAAGGAATCGGGACCGTCTCGTCGCGACATGTGCTTTTCATTTTTTTTTTTCCAACGGAGATAAACGATCGGTAGACCACAGATTTGTATACGTTTTTGCGCGCGGCAATTGATAGCATCGGTAAGCTCAATTTGTGGACGTTCTACGTTTGTTCGCGAAACAGCATGGAAACGGTAATGCGAAGAATATGAGGAAGGGAATCCGGATTTTTCAGATCGGGATGCCATTCTCAGATTCCAGTTCAAGTATTTTAATATACGGCATTATCCGCGGAATGCAGAGGCCTCGGTTTCTTTGAACCGGCCTAAGCATGGGAAAGATAACAGCTTCTAAAATCACGTATCGACAGCCGTTAGTCGACGGAGAGGCCTAAGACGGTACCAATGGAATCGAAGTATCCCCGGGGCTTATTACGAATTTACGAAGAATCTCTCGAGGGAAGCGTTGCGATCTATCGGGGCTGTTTGTTGTCGCGTTACATCTGCGCGCTTCTGCCCCATGCAGAAATCCAAAAGGCCGGCGTTGTCCGACCCTATATTCGAGCGTAGGGGACACGCACCGGGACCAGATTCACCCCAGAGCCCATTATTACCCGTGTATTGTATTGCTTAACATTGACTCAATTGCTTTCGAATAACGCGGCCACTCTCTCTCTCTCTCACTCTCTGCTTCTCTGTCCATCTCGCGTCCATACGTACGCTTCTGCCCTCGCGGGCATCAATCGAATTATTCGATTTACTGCTCTTTTCGGGGGGAGAAACGCTGACCTTCCTTCCGCCATAACTCAACCACTGTCAAATCTGTCGAGGACCAGTGACCGTAATTTTGCAGAAGTTACAAGGATTTGCATTAGACAGCATAATCGGTCGGCGCGTCCGACGAATTTATAGCTAGCTTCGATCTCCACTCTCTCCGCGGTCGTTCGAAAATCACCTAACGACGAAGACGTTCGATTAAACGTTCCGTTTTAAACGAATCCTCTGAACTCTAATGAAATCCGAGTGTGCAACGTTACACGAAAACCAGGCTCCGCTGCGGGAGCACAGAACACAGCGATGGAAAGACGAGCGAGAGAGAGAGAGAGTGGGAGAGTACACGATTAACTCGGCCGATCGAATCGTAAAATTCAAGCAAGTTCATGGAAGCCCACGGTACCGTGTTTGAAACGGGGGTTTTATAGCGGTCCAGGAACAAACCCTGCCGGTCGAATGGTCGGGACCGTCGGCCGGCCGGACAATCACAACTTGACAGGGAGGTTTAACGAGCCCTATGCTACGTACTCCACCCATCTACCCTCGGATGGTCATTTAATTATTCGAGATACCCGAACGCTGGACCATCTACCCCCCACGAACTCCCGCACCCCTTCCACTGGCAGGTCGGAATCGTTGGTCAGTTTCATCCTCCTTCCCTGTCCACCGCACCCCCGCGGTCCTCACTAAAAGGGTATACCAGCGTATGCCCGAGCACCCCACGCGCCGTCCAACCACCCACCGATGTACCGGCACTCGTCCCACGTGCTCGTTTCTATATTAAACCGCCGGGATGGCCGGGAGATAATAAAGACATATAATGGAATCGAAATTGTTTCTCTATCTATCAATGCCATACACGGTCTCTCTGCACAGGGCCACCGTTCAACCCGTCCGACAGATTCAATTTAGTTTCGCGCGGCCACGTTTAATTTGTGTCTTGATTCGTGGGTAATACGCGCGGCCACGTATGCTCCCCGACATGGACACATCGACGCTGAGTCGTGTGCGAGACCGATCGTATCGGGTCCCAATTCGGGGATGTCCCCAAATGTTTCTTCCGATTCGTCAATCGCTTACGATGATAACAGATATACATGTACGAGAGACCGCAATGCAGATGTTGGTTTAATTGCAGACGACAACCGAGACCTGAACGACCACCCCGAGGAGGACTTAAAGAGACAGAGAAGCAACTACAACGGCGACCAACTGTACTCGAACGTATGTATCTTTGACGTTATAGTAGAAGAGATTTCTCGACGACGACGACGACGACGACGGTGACGATCTACGAGAATTCGAGACGTCGGGTCGTCAAGTTCCGTCCCTTTCGCGTATCCGGCGAACAAGTAGCCCGTTCTGCCCGACACTCGAACTTTGCCTCGAGCATCCGGCTTCTGTTGCAGCTGTGGTCGAGTAAATGGAGCATCAAGGACGAGCACAAACTCCTGAGCGAGCTCGGCGGCGGCGGTGCGAGCGGCGGTAACACGAACGGCTCTGGAACCGGCGGTGGAACCGGCGGCAATACGAACGGCTCTGGAACCGGCGGAGGTGGTGGAGGCGGAGGTTACTACGAACACGGAGGATTCCCCGGGAACGCGATTGCCACCTCCGCCGAGCTGTACGACTCCCTGGGCACCATCAGCACGATGACGCAAGCGCAAACTCCTCATCTGTACACCCCGCCCATAGGGGGCACCATAGGTGAGCGACTCGTTCTCTCTCTGTTCATCCCCCGGCACCACCCTTGTCCTTTCTGTCACCCTCCTCCTTTCGCACAAAATCCCGGACAGCGTGTGCACCACAACCTCTTGTATATAATACCCGGCGTGTACCAAGCCCCTTTCCTAGCCGACCTACCAACCGAACCACCACGATCGTCTCCCTTCCTTCCACGATATTCCTTCTCTCCATTTGCCCACCTCTTCCGTGCCACCCTCGTCCCTCCCTGTGCCACCCTCTTCCCTGTACGCTTATTATTGCGGCTTACGTCTTGCTTTGCATACCCATATCGGCTAAATACATGGCTTTAATAATGCATGAGCTGTGCTGAGCAGCGGCTACGGTGCCAGAAGAGGTGGCGGAACGCTCCATTCGGTGGTCTCCGGCTCTCCTCTCGATGTTCTCGACTCAGGGGTGTGTTTCTTGGTTTCTACTCAGCTATTCACCACTTATCTCGTCTCTTCTCTTCACTTTCGATCGCACCGCGCGTACACCGGTGAACGATACCTCGTTCGTTCCGTTCTTTCTCTCAAACTAGTCGCTACCGGTCTCACGAGTCTGATTAAGCCTAATCGAACGTTCTAACCTTTCGTCTGTTCGTCTTCTGTTCTCCCATTCTCCTCGTCTCGTCCGCGACGTTTAACGGCGGTCGATCAACGGCGCAGCGTACTTCCAGAAATGCCATTGAAAAGCAACCGAAGTTTGCACGTACATACACACACGTTCAGGTACAACCGAGACGAACTTTCTCCGTGGTAGCACGTGTTGCGAGCAACTCGGTCACGCCGCGAAATTCTTTTCGGAATGGACGAAGCGAGCCGTGTAACGGCCGCTTCATCTCATGAAATTCAATCAGGGATCTTCGAGGCTGAGATCGAAGAATTTTTGAAGGACGACCCGACCGGGGCCAAGTCGATTCCACGGCTTGCTGGCTCTCGCCGTTAATATGGACGAGCCGGACGCGTTCGATAGAGGATTCTTGATCCAACGCGGATACAGCTCACCCCCTACGAGCAACTGTACGAAAGTGTGCTCGAAGGGCGTGACAACGACGATTTGACTCTTCCTCGATTTCGTTTCGAATTGTACGGCAAGTTTATCTCCACGGATCGGGATAAAGTTTCGCGAGAAATTGTCAAAAACTGGAAATGCGTCGTTCCGCCTTGATCGGCAGCCAACGATACGAAAATCGCAATAACGGAAAAATGGGGATCCCTTAATAGCAGGTGGTACTTTGACGCCGCTCGCTCCACTGACGATGCAAGAACTAAAATTGAGCCAAACATTGGACGGGGCTAACATGTCTCCTTACCACACCACCGGTGAGTTCGCCACCTCTTTAGTTCTTTTACGGCCAGATCGCCGATCGCGAAATACGCCAACTAATATCTACGTCCGTGTTATCTCATTATTTGGAATCTGACACGAGTTCGACTAATTATAAGAGTGTGTATCCTTAATTGTCCAACCCTCTCCAGCTCATTGACACGATTTCTTTATAGAAGAAAGTCGAGAAGATTCATTATACGCGATACCAATTTATCCTGTCGAGAATTGCGGCTGATCTCCATAAAAACCGCGTTTTATCAACGATACTTTACCCTTGCCTCCCAAAAGTGTCCCACGATCCCGCCCGACAAACTCCAATGAGACAAATTTAATTAAGCTTTAGACGTAAGGCGCTGATCGTTAGCTAGTGCTTGACTCGAATGTCGTGTTGTGTTGTGCATGGCCATAGCAGAGAGCAGTACCGTGGCAGTTTCGTATGTCGGGGTGGGGGCCGGCGGGGGCGAGCAGAGTCCCCCGATTTCGTTGCAGAACGAGACAAACGCCACCCCCGCGGCCCCCAACACTCCCGGAGGGGATCCCGGACTGACGGTCTTGCAGCCGCCAGTTTCTCAGCCCCAGGTAGCGTCTGCGATACCACCGTACTCGACGATGCTCCCCAGTTTCGGACACTACGCTACCGGTGAGTATCAAAACGCAGACACCCTTCTCTGCTATCGTATTTTACCGACCAGAAAAGAGATAGGCAACCCCCGGGCGCTGCGAAGGGTAAGCTAGGGTGCTGTAGGGTGACCCTGACTTATCAGATTCGCGGTTTGGAAGTCACGCCCACGCGGTAAACGGGAAACGTTGCCAACGCGCGTTAACTTGCTCGCAAGGTATACGCTCGTTCTCTCGCGAGCGAGATTAGAGACGCGGGAAAAATAGAGTAATGTCGATACGCTGTATACGATATGTAATATGGTCTAACCACGCGTGTAATCGATGTCTGTTTAGGTGGTGGCGACTACGCGTACAGCGCGGCGTACTCTCAATACTCGAGCGCGCCGTACAGCGGATACGGGTATGGAGCAGCGACAAGCGGGTTGCTCAGTAAGTAAACAGTGAGTATGAGTACCGATTAGATTAGGGTCAACGAAATGTCAAGTACTAACTCATTGATAGGCTAATTCGATCGAGGTAACGGCCCCTCAGACTTAGCTCTGTCCGTACTCGAGAATTGTGGAAAATAAAGCTGAGCTACGATCGGATCTAACTTTCTAAAACTGAAGAAACGCGCGGCTATTTTATTACGTTTCGAGATATCGCGGATAAGAATCGGCCGGCGAAAAACCCTGCGGAATCGTGGACAGGTTTTGAAGTAGCCACGGCTCTCGGCTTTCACAACGGATGGATTGCAGTACTTATTGTTAGATCGCGATACCCTCTAGGTGAAATGCGCGGGCCGAGCGCGCATATTTGGCGCACGAGAATGGACGGAATAATAAACGATTTTTTATCGGACACGCGATACGTTCTCGACTCGTTCCTTATACGTGACGTAACGCGTATGTAAGTGCTACGGTCTTACGACCGAACTTTTCCCCTTTCTAGAATGCTATCTCGCAACCAAAACTCGCAGCCACATTTTAGGATCTTTGTCTAAAATCGACTGTGTAATATAAGACTCAATTCTGTTCAACGGGTCGTACTTAAAGATTAGACAAAATTAAAACAACGTGCAAACAAATACGCACAAGCAAGCTCGCTGATACCGTGGCAAGCACGTATGTTCGTAAATCAAATCTTTACATAAATTGGCTCGCGACTAAAGCTCGCCGTCACATTTTAAGCTCTTTCGAGCTGTTCAAACAGGTTTAATAATTAATAAACAGATGAAATTAAAACTGGCCAAGGAATAATGCGCAATATCACAGCATGCATAAACACGTTACTACCATGGCAAAGCATAATTTGTAAATGAAATCCTACCTTACTCCGCAGACTCGACGTACTATTACTGCAACGGGGACACGCTGGCGTCTTCCCATACGAATTCGCAGCAGGGCGGCGGATGTAACAACGCAGGGCCAGAGAACAGCACGGACGTGGCGAGTCGCTCGCCTTTGGCGGCGACTAGGGCGAGTAGCGGCGCGAGCGCAGCTTCGCCTACCGGAAGCGCGTGCACGAAGCCAGATCACGCTTCCACGCCGACGGATCTTTATCTCGCCTGATCAATCGGTGGTACAGGAGACCGACTTCGGGCAGAGCAGTCTTCCTGGAGTTGGGGATTGCGACCAACGAGTTCGGACGCCATATCACGAGGAGCCACGCTGTAATTAAGCAATGATCTCTTTTCTAATTGCGTGAAACGTGGACGGTCATCATCACGATATGATCGCGACAGTGGTAATGGGAGGAAACATTACGGAGAATACGCAAAAATCGTGGCCAGACACGCGTACACAACATTGTATCGTAAAACGACTACGCAACGCTTCCGGAAGTTCTCGTCGAAGATCGTGGAAGGATAGGAAGAAATCGAGGATGGTTGAACCATCGGATAATCAACATTGTTTTACAAGCGCTCAGTGAAACGACGCGGGCGAACGTCGGACACTGTCGACGATCGCGACAAGGTTTTGCGTGCGTTGAGATTAGAAGGTCGTTACCTGTCTGACTCTCCGTGTCGGGTAGAAACTGTAGCTCCGATGGGAAACGGGATGGCACGACTCGACGAGTGTCTGGTCCAGCGACATTGAAAGGGCCACGCCGTCGATTCCTGCGAACAGGCGAACCAGCCTGCGAGCGTTACCCGACGGTGTTCGGTTCCTCGTGTAGAGCGCGCATAATCGTAGGTAGTTTAATTTAACGATCCTCAGTTAGCATAATTTCTACACAATCGCGATCGGTCGTCACTCCAAATGTTCCCCTGTACTACGCTGGTTACAACGCACGCGGCTGGGCACATTTGTTGTGGCCGACGTTAGAAACTGTAAATATATATAAAGCAAAGAAAAAAAAATTATACATAATTATATATATATTACCGGTGTAAAACAGAGGCAGAGAGTCAACCGGCCGATAAGGCACGTTCTTTTTCCCCAATTAAGCACGACGATAACACACCCCCAGCCCCTAACGATACAAGTGCATAAATATATTATAGTAGCTATACGGATAAGTTTATTGAGATTTTTCAAATCAGGAATCGACGTAACGATCATTACTGTTAAGGATATTATATATATTTTTTGTAGAAACCAAAGACCACAGACGGATTGCCGAAATAAGAATTGCGTGCGTCCCGTAGCTAAGGTACGGCAACAATACGGCAGCAGAGAGTTTTATGGCGAGAAGAGAATGCGACTTTTTAGATTGTAAATCGTGCGTAAGTGTTTGCGAGCAACGTGCAGGATCGACGTACTTAGTGTGCATGTACAAAACGATGCGAGATCGGGAAAGCGTGAAAGGCGAAGCGTACTTACCGTTGTGGCCGATTCTCGCCGATGGTGACGTCGTCTAGGACGATGTCACCGTCGAAGAAAATCGTCGAAATTCCACACGGATCATCGTGAAACACGTCACTTTTTGCCGAACCAGACACACTTCCTTGACGGTTTCTCGCATCCCGAACAGCGGCGTCACGAATTTTCGCGCACTACAACGGCGTGAATAGCCTAGCTTCCGGCATCGCGTCGAGCGGAACGTTGAAAGAAACGTATCACGAGACTGTAATTAACGTCTGAGCGCGGCCACTTTAATTAGAAGTTACGTGTTAGCAATTTCTTTGCCGGTTAACGGAAAAGAATGGTAATTCGTAACCTTAATAAGGAAATTTACGCGCCTGTGTCCACCGCCATGACAGCGCAAACTCTACTGGACGACGCAGGCGCGCCTCAGTCGCTATCGCCGCGCGAGTATGCGACTTTATTCGAATTTACAATTTTATCAATTTATTTATTACTCTCTTTTAATATCGCGATTGCTGCGCGAACAAGTTTTCATTTTAATTAATGGGTTATCCGCTCCTCGAGAAAAGTGCAATGAACATGTCAAAGCGTTTTAATTAATTATTCACGTAAATATACCCGTCTCGCTTGAGAACCTACCGTGAAATGGGTTTCCTAGCACGATTTCGCTCGCATCACAGTTATCTCATAATTAACGAATTATGTTCTCCAGCATGATTCGCGCGCTGTTAGATCGCTTCCTGTTATATTTATTATTTCATTTACCGTGTTCTTTTAAAACTTGACTTTCGGAATATGTTTATTTGAATCTCCAGCGGATTCGTACGATTTATCCGTCTTTAAACTGTTATTGATTTTATAGAAACGATTACCGTTACGGTCGATCCGAGACGATGCTCGCAACAGATTCTCAGATTGTTCATCGATCCGAACGTCAGACGAACTTGACTTATTCAATTCTCGAATTTTTTATTTGTTACATGTGTACGTGAAGTAAATTCGTTCTGACGTTCATTGCGAATTGTAATTGACTAATGCGTACTGTTATTCCATTTGCTATAACGACGATGATTACGAATTTTTCTTTTTATTATTTTTTATTCTACTCCGCTATTATCGCTACATTTCCCTTCCATTATTCTCATGTTTATTATTATTATTATTAATTATTCTAATTATTCTTCTATTATTATCATCACATTATTATTACCATTATTTAATGCCTTTATTATTTATTAATTAGTGACGACGACGACCTATGTGTAATAAGTTTTGCCAAAGAAATCTGTCGAACGATAGAGGTAGAGAAAGGGAGTGAGCAATATCGCGGTAACGTTTCAAACTTCTATAAGATGCAACTGTTTTTAGAAAAAAGTATAAAAAGGGAAATGCACACGATATGATAATATCGAAATGAGAAATGCGCCGCAACAGGTATAACTTCATCGCGCAGCATTCAAACGAAATCGTATTCTCATCGTCAGTATCAGATACGTACTTGTTATGAAAAATCGAGGCTTGAATGCTGCGAGGATTTCTCGATTCGAACAACAAACGATTCTGTCTATTTCATTGTTGTTATTTTCTTACCATTTTCTTTCATTTCGCTATCGTTTCGTCACCGTGTGATATTCTTGTTCCGTGCGCCGCTCTTGCCGAGTCTCGCTGTTGATACTTGCAAACAGAACTCTGTACATCCTTTTTAAATAAATATGAGGTTTATATGAAACTCGTTTCACTGTCTCCCATCGATTTGTCCTTAACCTCAACGTCACAGTAACTTTTAACGTACTTTTGAACTGCAGTTTCAATTTCAGCACCGACAAGGAAGACAGAAGAATAAAAAATATACAATAGTGCATTGTATACTTTGCCTATGATACTATCATCGATAATGTAACGATGATTCGTCGGTAACATGTAGGTTATACAGTCGGTTTAGCACCGACGAGTGTATTGCTCTCTGTTTCTTACCTCGGTGGCAATATATTCCAGAGGGCGTCAAAAATTGCCAACATTTACGTGCGACGCAAAGTCCCATAAAACTTTTAATAAACTTTCCTCGGTGCGTGAGATACGTTTCAATTCTGAATAATGAACAATACTTCTTTATTTGTCGCAATGAATGAGATTTCAGCTTGGCTCTTCCTACGTCGTCACAGGTACGATTTAGTTCGCGACGCCATCGGCTGGGTGCAGCACCTACCGGACTCGTGTAGGCAGCCATTTTAGAGCATCATCTCTTACATAACCGAAGTGCGAACAGGTCCGAACTTGTGTAGGAAGAAGCAGTGACGAGGAGATCTGAGTGAGAAGGAAAATTGTGTTGTACGATGTGCTTAATGGAATGCAGATAATTAAACGTATCTCAGCTTCCAATTAATCGATATTGATGAACGCAAGTTAAAGTTAAAGGTAAGAGTCCAATAAATGATTTCGTTCTTGCTCTCTCGATCTAGTTTAATTTGTAACGTTCAGGCACTTGTCTTGTGGCTTAACTTTAACGATGAATATTTGTTACAAACAATAGCCGTTTCTTTATGTAGGAGACTCAGATATTCTTAGATTTCTAACTTTAATGTACATGCTGGTTTAGATTGATGTATTATAAGTACAGGAATTTAGTTTATTTCGAAGACATTTTGAATTATATTCATCACCGGTAAGTGCTGCCACAACTCGAGCATGTTGGTAATACAATTGTATTTCAAATCTTGTCGTCGGCACCGTGTCCCTCGTCAAAGATTCTCCTTAAAATACTTTGAATTAAGTGTGTAATTGTTTGTTTCCAGTGAAATTCAGTGAAATTTAGTAATCGTCGACAATCGGCCACTGCGACATCAACATGTGATTTCAAGGTACACTATTTTACTACATTTCAAAGTTAACCTTCTAAGAATCATAGCCATTCAATTTGATTCAATTCTCTATCAGATTTTCGTAAAGTAATTCCATTCTTAAAGGGTTTACATGGTTCAAACTTGTGGAAACGTGTTCTTTAGACATTCAAAGCAAATCTCGTACCTGGTTAAACTTAGCTTGGTGTTATTTCCAAAATATACTCATTGGAAATTATACCAAGTATAAAATTACAATAATGAACTTTTAATCTTGAATCTTTCAATGATCCCCCAAACTACGAACTATTATATTTTTATTGATACATCCCACGTACGATCTTGTAAAAAATTAATTGTCATAAGTAATCCACGTAATCATCATAAACTTGGTAATTCTTACGAAAACTCTTCGGATTTATATAATCTAAATATCTAGAAGGTAGTCTCTACATTATAGGTAACGCAATTCGATAAACGATAAGTATTGTATTGCCCCTAGCTGAATCCTTCATTTCTTGTAAACGTAACTCTCGGCACCTCCTCGACCGAAACCTGTAACAATTCAATACTCATCATTATGATTTCGTAATAGTGAATCAAGTATCAAATATGTGTTCTGTCGCTTAAGGCGTTGTTTCGGTTTGTCAGTTCTAACGTTAAATAAGCTTTCGCCTCTCACCTCCGGGGCCGAACAGAGCAGAATAACACGGATGATTGCAATAAGGTTTGCCTTCGTGTTCAGAGTGGCTACCCGGCGTCAGGGTCTTGTTACATTTCTCACACCGTAAACAGGACCCGTGCCAGTCTTTCCCCAAAGAGGTTTTCCTCTCAGCTGCGACAGACGAAACGACGAAACATCAGTTTCATCCATAGGGACGTAAAGTTCACTTAGTGAAACGGAAATTATCACGTTCGATCAGGTCTACATATTGCGTGGCCTCAATCCAGTTGGTTAAAGCCATGTATGGCTGCGTTCTCAATAAAGAAGCCTGAAAGAACTTTTATCAACACGACTAGGTAGTTGTAAACCGTACAAACGGTCTTACGAACGACAAGAATTATGTAACAAGTGGTGAAATCGGATAAAGATTATCGCGTCGAGAAATTGTTCCCTGTCTCGACGCACCTTTCCTCTTGCGTAATCGAAGCCACGAGCGCAAGACGGATATCTGTACACTCGTGTTTTGAATAATTAACATCCGTAAATGAAGAGCGCGTTCAACAGAAATTCAACTTCTACTTGCATGTAGTCCTGATTTTGCAATTATGGGAAGAGTGAATATGCAGAAAATATAAAGGACGCGTGTACAAACATCCGCAGTCTATTTATCAAATGACTAAAGACTCGAAAATCAGAACCGAAGAGAAAAGGGTAAGGGTGCCGAGGAACCTGACGAGCATCGTCATCTCAGAGGCAACGGATCGATCGTGGCGAACAATAAACCGTGCACCAGCTGCACGTCTCCTCGACAGAATACATACAGGCATCCCCAGGCGGGACGAGAGTCGTCGCGGCGACGCCTGCTCCATTAGCAATTTCGTAATTATGAAATTGAATGGCCTATTCCCGGTGGCGAGAATCATTCAGCGGAGGTGCGAACCCGGGAACAGTCCTGTGGGTCTTGGCCCGTGACAAAGCTTTACAAAATATCGCGTCGGATGCATTGTCGCGCCGCGAATTCCCACGTGCGATTTGCGCGCGGTGATTCTACGGGAAGGGTCGAGCCAGACGAAAAGAATCGACTGCGGGCTTGGTCGCCCGCTCTTATGCCGCGCGTCGATCGATCGAAATCCGCGAGCTGGTTCATTGTACATGAACCGGATCGAGAAAGTAGCACGATTTTCCTGTATACGCGTCGCGTCGAACGTAGATACCGGTGTTGCTCTTAGCGGAGGAAGATTCACGTGAAGAGCCGCGGTACTTGGATTTTTTAAGGCCTGTGTCGAACGCGTATACGGCTCGGTCTCGGTTGACAAAAGGCCGCGAAATCAGAGGAGCGAGTGTAGCCTTTTCTTTCTTCGGTGCGTCGCGGTGCGTCATGCCATTACGACATATCAAACCTCGCGGGGAAGACAAAAAAGCCACGGGCCGGTGGCGGACCGGTGGTTGGCATTCAAACGTTCCTCCGCGTCTAAGGAGGAGCACAAAGAATGCTGGTGCCAGCGAGGGGAATTGGAAAATGACGAGGAGCGGAGAGACACGAGGAGGGGTCTAAAGGGGTCGACGTCGGGAACCGAGGAACAGAGACGCGATAGAGACGAGAAACGCGGAAGAGCCGACGAGAGCGAGGGAAAAAGAAGTCGGCGAAGGAGGAGACTGGTGGCGTGCTGGCAGAATGGTGCACGGACGAAGGAAAGAGAGGCTGTGGAGCAAGAAGGGTACGCATAAAGGGCCATTAGTTAATTAACTCCTAATTATCTGGCGGCGGAGAAGCGAGTGCATAATCGTCAGGCATTGCTGCTGTGCAGTGGTAGCGCGAAAAGGCAGACAGTGCTGTGCACGGATCGTTGCGCCCGGGCGCCAAACAATCGGCGGCTGCTGATTGCATAGGCTTGGAACATCATCCCCCGCTGTCTTTCCATGCTCCTCTCTCTTTCTTCTTTCCCTTTATTTCCTCAGTAGACCGTTCTCCACCCCAAACCGACCACCCATCCACCCTTCCTGCCGCCGTACTTCTTGACGTGTCTTTCAAACCTGCCGATCTGCCACCCGCCGCCCCCTGCCTTCGCGACCTGCCCAGGAAATGCCCTGAAAAACTTCTCGTTGCAACTCTCTTCCCTATCAATGCCCGTCGTAAACTAGAGAGGGTCGAGAGCAGAACAAGCTGGTTCCTTCTTTTCTTCTTCCTTAGTTTCGTTCGCCACCAGCTATTCTTCTGCAAACCTGTTTCTACTCTGTTCTTCTTATTATTACCCGATACTTTCTCTCTCTCTCTCTGAAGCCCGTCTCGTTATCGTTGTTTTCCCCACTGGACACTTTATTGCTACTTCCTCTTCGTTGTGTCCCACCCATTGCTGCGTAAACTTTTTGTTCGACAGTACAGATTACCGAGCTCTGTCTACGAACTGAATTGCCAGTGCAAAAGAAATGTTCGTTCTTGTATCTTCGCTCGTGGCACATCATCGCCCTAATGCTGTTCTCAAATGTCGAAGATACGATTCGGACACAGTGCGCCTTTGAAAGTCCGACGTACAGTACATAGCATTGATTCATTAAATTCGATTATTAAAAAGGGACTCTGTGTCGCTTCTCTGCGAACGACTCGTAGAATTCTTGTGTCTGCTTCTACCTTCCCGTCACTGACCAACGGCACGCAAAATCGGGCAGGAATTCAAGAGACGTAGCCTTGCTTTGCGACACTCGCGGAAATCGCTCGAGATTAGTCACCTGTCGTGGCGGCAAAGGGCTAGATCTCGTTCCGCGAACAGTCTCATCAAGCATTCGTAAAAATCGAGACGAGGAGGAGCTGGCCCTTCTTATCAAATGCCACGAGTTCGTTTGAACGTAGTTTACACGGAAGCCACCGCGGTTCTTGGTTTCTCAAAGGTCCGCGGGTTCCTTACGACTCGAAAAAGCTTCTACGGTACTTTGAAGCGAGCGTTGCTACAGAATGCTCGGGTAGAAACAAAGAAAACGCGAGGAGAAAGCTACGAGTGCCTTCATCGCGGGCCTCGCTTTCTGCTCTCGCCGCCCACGCAGGGCTCTTCGAACAGCGAAAAAAAGAGGGTCGAGCTTCAAAAGTTACTTTTACTTCGTACCCAAGGGACGAGGAAGCGACGTGACGACAATTAATCAAATCTGAAGTAGGAAGGGTCGGAATTTTGGCATAAGCCGAAGAGGAGAACAAATCTATTTGATCGAAGCTCTTCAAATTTTGTAACGGGCATCAAGGAAAAACGTGAGTCGCGAAAACTGATACCGGTTTAGAGGGCAACGACCCTCCCTCTCTATCTGGCAGCCCTTTGAAACATTTCTCGACGATACAAGGAAAAGAGTGTCGTCCCTCTAATTCGTCCGTTGGCTCCATTTCTCGCACGCCTACTTGGCCCGATCTGAAAGCCCATATGGTAGTGGCCGTCGGTAGTCGGTGTATTCAGAAAAATTCGCTTTCAGCGCTAATAGTGCTTTAGCGGGACGTCTAAAAGGCCGCTCGGAAGAGGAAGCGCGCAATTAAAAGCGAACCTCTCTGAACTGAATGCAATGGCTCTGGGCGCAGCGTCGAGCGAGTCGCCCGAAGGGAACGCGGCGAATATCGTTCTACTAACAGTACTAACGGAGCTCGGGCCATCCGATTATCTGCGCGTCGAAGGGGAAGCACGACCCGCCGATTGGCCGACGATAAAACGTTATCGTGGAACGCGGGGGCCCCTCGCAAAACGCGACGATAACCGAGAAAACAAGCGAAAGAAGGTCGGCGACAATGCCCGCTGTTCCACCGCTGCTCCACGCGTGTCAACTTGGAAATTTACGCATGTCAATGAGTCGTAGGATAACGTAGCGTAGAAATTCCTACTTTCATTTTTAAATACCGAAAACGGGTTACTGACACACAGTTTACGTTTTCGTAAATACCTAAGTGCTGATAGTCGTACTGGATATTTCACGACGTGTTGACAACAGAACGCTTTGTATTCAAGGCTGGGTAACAATGAACTATGTACGTATGCGCGTAATTTTACAGACGTAAACGAGTAATTACGCATTATCATCACTATAACGGAAACGATACGGAATATTCCAGCGTTATAAAAATACCGCCGATTGGTTATCAATCATTATCATATTGCCGGGGATCAAAGTATTATGCACGTTTCCAATTAGAAATTCTCTAAATACTTTTTAACACGTACGAAGCGTACACGTACGCACAAGTTCACGTCGACAGACGGGCAAATCGCTGATCCGTTTATTTCCTTCTGTGTATAAAATTTCCTTCCTCGTGGCTCGTGTTACCCAGTGTTGGCGTTACACGTCTGTAACGCAACGAGGCTGACATAATGTTTGTCAAGGTGGACCGCGAGGACGTGCAATGACATCATTGGTGCCGTCACTCTGATCGGAGCAACTTTGTGTCTCGCTACAATTTGTCCAACTATGACACACAATTGAGTAACGTTTATAAATATCGATTGGACAATGTTATTTATGCGTTGAATCATCCGATACGAGTTTGACGTAATCAAACAAAATTGGAATCTCATTCAAACAGATTCATTATGCAGTTTCAAATCACGATACGTGAAGGGTCTGCTTGGAACGCGAGCGCACGAGGGAGGAACGAAGTACGTAGTAGGAAATAAAGTAGAGTACTTGCCGAAATAGACCGGTTTGTCGCACTTCGGACAATTGGGCATGGCGAGACGTGTGTAGAACTGCTACGATGAACGGAAGATCCTCTCCGTAGCGTGGTCAAGCGCGTACTGGGCCCCGCGTTCTGCAAGGTAACGCGATTCTCTCCAGTTGATTGAGCGAGCAAACGTGTGTTAAGGACGCGCGTATGTGTGTGCGTCCGCGCGCGAGGGACCCGTGTTAAGGTCGCGTCAGCTCGAGCTCGAAACTGGTATCGCGACGATGTATACGTGTATACCGAGCACCTGAACTTGCGGTGAGAAGTAAAGTGCTTCCGTTATCGCGGTGTATGCGTTCGCCACGCTGGTAACGGTCACGACTGCGGAGTCTTCGACTTCTTCGAGACAACGTCGTCGTATTCCTCCCTGACGCGAACAGGTCCCGTTATCCATTGTCGACGGAATCGTTATCGAACGTGCATACTCAAGTACAGGGCTGACCATGTGTATTCATCGTCTACTCGCAGTATGCGCGAGTAACGGAGCAAGTGTCGCACTTACGAGAATGCAATCGTGAACGAAATTAGGCTAGCATTCGTCTGATCGATTCGTCAGACAGTTTTCTAGATCTATTTGTCGACCGCGATGGTGAGGGGGTGAATTGAACTTTTTTTGGTACGTGTCGTCAGTCTGCTAGCATTGAAAGATATAAATGTTCCGAAGACCAGTATCATATTCTGTGTAATGCACGATTCCTGAACCGTGCTCGAAGAGATAAAGTAACGAGCAGGAATTCCCGTTGACGGTAGAACTCCCAATTTTCCCTCGTTAAAGCTGCGTCGCGGTTAAACGGGCTTGAATAAAAAGCAGACACGTAGGAACACCGTTTTTTCCTCCGGGTGGGAGTCGTTTTAACAGGGGCAACGTTAACCCTGATTTAATATCGAGGGAGGGTTTCTTTCTCTTTAATTCCGTCTGTGTGATCCGCATTTAGTCCCGACGAAAGGAGGTACGAGCGCGCGCTTCCCTTCGGCGAATATCGTTAGAAATGAAAAGCGAAAGGGGTGGTGGCGCTGGAAGAAGAAGCGGCAGCAAGAATCTAAATGTCTGGCCGGTGATACGGGCTCCCATCAGGACCCACTTGCCTACCCCTTCTTCCCGGCCCTGTCACCCTCCCTCGCGATTATAACAACGTGCATCTGGAGCTTTTTATTTCCTTTCAGCTTCTCCTAGCGTTCGTCTGGCTGATTGTCGGATTTGCGTTCAGCTTCGCCGTTTTGTTCCATGGGAACGACCAGTTTCGCAGTCCCTGGAGGGCCATCGTGAAGACCGTGGTAATGATGATGGGTGAGTACGAGTACGAAGCTCTGTTCTCGGACGACAAGAATAGGAGTTCGCTCCTTCCAGTCGCGAGCACGCCGTCTTCCTCGCGTTCACCGGTATCGCCGGTCAATGACATCTAATCCTAAACCAACCAGCCAAATTTTCAAAGTCGAGTTCCGAATCCTTGTGCAAGGGTGAATCTGATGTCACCAACCCGTGATATCTAATCCTACACGATTTTTGAACTTGAAGCGCGAAACTTTAATTGGCACTGTCCAAAATTCTTGTACAACAGCTGTGAACTACGTTCATTAAATTACTGCACGTTAAGTTCACGAGCCATTTAAGGGGACTGTGCAACAATTGACCGTATCCTCGTTCCCACAAAATTAAGTAATTATTCGTCTCGCGAAATTTGAGAGACAGTGGAAGGTGGCTAATTCTTGTCGTCCAGGCGGTCTACTTGTGGTTCAATTAATAACACCAGCGTAGCAATTCAAAGTTTCGAGCGGCTTAAAAAGAGTCGTGAACAAAGGGCAGCGAGAGAGATAAAATAAAAATGCTAACTCTATTATCAACAAGGGTGAAAACTTTTTAAAGTTTATACGTAAAATCAGTTAAATCGAGGAGAAAGTGATTAATAAGAAATTTGTTTAGAATGTTGTGATTGTTTCGTGCAATTGTTGAAAAAGATTTGCACGTTAGTTAGTGCGTGGGTGGTAGACGTTGGTATATCAGGAAGACTTCGTACCAGCGTAGCGCGGCGGATTTCAAATCGAACGTCGAAGCTTGTCTAGATGTCTCCATAATACAACTTCAGATATTTAAATTGCTCGTCCTACGCTGAACGTTGCAAACAAATTTATTTATCGATTAAATTCTCTTCGGGAAAAAACGACATGGAAATACTGGACGATTCGAAAATCGAGAATCTTTTGCAATGCAATGTTTATCGTATCGTATTTACGGTCCAAAAGATTCTTTGTTTAATTGGATGAACGATCAGCAATTACATTCTACGACAATTAATTACATTTATGGCAGCATGCGAATTCCGCATCAAGCTTTAATTGACGCAATGATTAAATACGATTTTATTGGAAATATATGTTTGATATCGTAATGCCACCCCCTTATCAGCAATTCAATGGGCGTAATAATATCCTAAAAACATCAATATCTAGAATGCATACATTTTTTAATACGATTCGACGTTTTACAAAGGCATTAAATCTAATTATACTGAAAACCCTACAGATTATAATTACAAATACGTTACGATCGATCAAAGAAAATCAGAGAGGAATTCTTTTCATGCTTCTGCAATATTTTTTTCTCAATCAATAGATAACTTTTATTGTATAATACCGAGTGTGATACACGATATAGTTAAAAGTACCGACAGCTCCGTGCACTAATCTCAATTCATTGATAAGCTTTATCCCGTTGAAAATTTACAAGCACGTTAATCCAGGTACCACGTGAGCACGGAGCCGTGTCCGAGGAATAATTAACGCGGAGCTTAATAAATGGGATTGTTGACGGTTGAACATATTAATACCGACATAACGGTCGCGTGCAAATAATCAGAAATTGAGCTAGCCATTTCAAACGGTTTATATCTTTCTCGTGGCAGGTCATCCGATCTGTCTTAAAAATTTCGCTATCAGATGACCAGATCGGATCGAACGATTTCTCAACCGTGGCTCTGAGTCAGTGACGAAATCAGTTTTGTTCCCAGCTAATGAGGGTGTCCCTTTCCTTTCGATTTTAATTAAACACGGAAATCGAATAGGACAGTGGCGAGCGCATACATTATCATAAATTATCGTCGACTCACGGCTATAAAGAAATCACGCGCACCTGTCTGAGCGATTGTAACACGGACACAGGGAGCGTACGATTACCGGCGCCAGTTTGCTGGCCACGAAAAACGGTATCAAACGTGGAATCGTTTCGTTGAAAAGAGAGCTGGGTACGGGACTGAATTTATGGCAGTCCTTGAAACGCAGAAAAATTCGCAAACGAGTTTCCACGATTCGAGAAAGACAGTGGAGCAGAGAGCTCGAACGGAGTTCGCCATCGGCGCTGTCGGAAACATCGTACCTCTTCAATTATGATAAATTATAGTTTCCAAGGTTCGAGGTTCACATAAATTCGGTGTGTAACATCGTGCGTTCTCCCGTCTGGGTTAATTAACCAACGAGGAACTCCCGGCTGATAAGATCGCCACTGCTACGTACTTATTGTTAACTTAATGATACGAGCTTCTTAATAATTAGACAGTGAAGACAAATAAACAATGCGATCGGGAGCAATGGAAGGAAGCGATGTGTTGTTAATTAGTTGATCGGAAATAACGTTTAGAATGAGTTTAGAACTCGTATCAATCATGATGTTACGTTAAAGATATGTTCAAATAGTTTCTAACAGAGAAGTATCCGCTGCCTCTTTTCTACGACACGATAACAATGAAACCCTCGCATTCTTTTTCAATATTTTATTGATAACCAGTACAAGTTAATCTTAACGTCAGTTTCATACAGGAATGAAAATCTGAAGGCAGATGCGGTGAAGAGGGAACATCTCGCAGTGCAGTTGGAAAACGAGAGGCCGAGCAGGAGCCGCGGTAGCGGTGGCGGTTCTGACGGTGGAAGCAACGTCGACGTCGCCGTCTTCGACGCCACCGCGCCGACGACGTCGACGACGACGCCGGATGAGTTCGGGTGAATTCGCTGGGCCTCGGGTGGGGTCGGTTCGCCGCCTTGCCTGCCATGACTGGCCGGTCGTGGCCTCGCGGGGGGTGAGGGTGGGGGCGACGCGGCGCGTCGGCGAGGGGCGCCGCGGCGGTGAATCCTTGGTCGTGATTGGTCGCCGCGTGGGAGAGCCGCCCGCCCGAGCTCACCGTGACCGGCAGTCGGCACCGAGCATTCAGGCAGAGCACATCGAGCCATCGGAGACGGGGCGAGATACGGAAACACGCAGCTCGGTACCTAATCGCACGGGCACGATGGCCGTCCGGCGCGTGCACCGTCTGAGTCGACAATACGAACAACAAATAGAACGAGAGCAACAGCAACAACGCCGTGACCGTCGTCGTGGTTCCGTACTGGTCGTTGTTCCGCGTGTTACTCGCGTATACCTGCAGACGGAGTCGAGTAAGAAACATCAACAACAGGAGCACCAGAAGCAGAAGCAGCAGCAGCAGCAGCAGCAGGATCGCGCGCTTGCTAAAACATCGTGGCCACCATCGTGTCGGTACGTGGCGCGCGGACTATGCATCCGGTGCACGCAATAAGTAACGAAACGGAGCGCGAGAGAAACGAAAGAAGAGTACAGGAGGAAAACGCGCGACGAGGACGACGACGCGACGCACAGAGAGTCGCTGCCGCGGTAAATACGACGCACGTAACGAACAGGGAGTCGAGACCGCTCTGCTCGCATCAACCTCGAGGTGCAACGCAACACGTTTTTACCTCGCCCTTTTCCCCTTGTGCCTGGTCCCAGCGCGTCCCCCGAGTGTGTATCGCACCTCCTTCCCTCCTGGCCCCTGTGCGCCGGCCTTCCCACGCGGTCCTCGTATCTTCGCCGAGATTACGTTTCGGTTAATACGCGACGGTACGTGTCGCGCCGGCCGTTAAACCTTCGCTCCGGCTCGTGTTGCCGGCCGTTTCTCTCATTTTCGTGCTCTCTCTCGCGTCGCGGTTATTGTTGTCTCGAAGTACGTCGTGATGCTTGTGTTCTGACTCGGTGGTGCATACAGTTCATGATTCATACTTACGGTGCGTCGTTCTGTGCCCTTTCGGGAATGGGAAGATAGGTATCGATAAAAAAAAAAAGTGTGCGAGCCTGACCGTCTCCGTCGTCGACGGTGACGACGGCGGTGGAAACCAACGTGACGGTGAACCGTTCTCTGTGCTCTGTGCTGTCCTCCGATCCGCGAATAATATCCAGTGCGAGACCGAACACCGAGAAGAATCAGTGTCCGTCGGGCGTGA